AAATTAACTCCACCCTAGCAAAACCAGGACACAGTCACTTGTGAATTTGAGGCAGTATGCTCTGGACCTGATGGGAGATATGTACTGGTTTTTGTGGTGTCAGTCATAGCCTTTCAACTGAGATTGCCTCCTGCCAGTCTGTAGTTGCTCTATTTCTGCTCTGCTTTTTTCTCATAAAATGTGTCTAGGCATGTTTCACTAGTTAAACTGTTCACAGATGACATTAAGGAATTCTGACATTAAAAATTTGAGACGGGAAGTTAGGATTAGTAATTGGGTGTTTCTTTTGTTGCTTGTGGCTTACAGTAATGATACGTCTCGTAAGTCTTGTCTTGTAGAATTGTTTTCTCATGGAAAACTTTGGCATTTTGTAGTGCTGCTGCAGCATGGTGCTGAACCAACCATCCGGAACACAGATGGAAGAACAGCTTTGGATTTAGCAGACCCATCTGCAAAAGCAGTGCTGACTGGTAAGTGGTAATCTTTAGATTATGTTATGACTAATAACAGTCAGATGAATGTAATGCAGTATTTTGTGTTTTTTTTTCTTTCTGATATTACTTTAATTTCTCTCTGTTTTATGATTCTAAATAGAAATTCCCATATGACCTTCATCATCTCAGTCATAGGATGTGTTTTGGGTAAAGAGTTTGTTGTGCTAGTTCAGTAACTGACTGTCAGATTTTTAGCACTTATGTTCTCTAAAATTTTGGAAGGGGAGGATAAGTAGTGAACTTCATATGTCTAGACATTTATTTAATGATTAAAGAAACTCCCTTTTGTCTTACAGGTGAATACAAGAAAGATGAACTCTTAGAAAGTGCCAGGTATGCATGTTTGGAAGACACCTGCAATTTAGTTACTTTTTCAGAATTGTCTAGGGGTTTGTATGTAATGAATATACACACACACACACACACACACACATACACACACACACACACACACACATATATATATAGGCTTTTGAGCTGACATTTCATCTAGATGCTAAGCTTTGGCTGTTACCTGTGAACAAAGTTACAAAAATAATTAATAATAATAAAATATAAATGCATTTTTGCTTTCCCTTTAATGCTGACAGTACAGAAGTAAATGTATGACTTCAGAACAGATCTGCTGAACATTATAGCAATGAAAAATATAAAAACACAATAAGCTACTAAAAACTGGAATAAAAAGAATTCTGCCCGTTTCATATCTTGTTTTTCAGGAGTGGAAATGAAGAAAAGATGATGTCTCTTCTTACACCATTAAATGTTAACTGTCATGCAAGTGATGGCAGAAAGGTATTTTTGTTTAAAACCTGAATTAAAATTAGCTCACTCTTACATGTTTCATACTTATTGCTTGACCAGATTTTAAGAACGTTAAACGTAGAATCTATCTATTTTCTTTAATATATGTGGGGAAATAAGGTGGTTTGTTTTTTAACCTTAAAAGGACTATGTAGGTATTTCCATTTAGGAGCAATAAACAAGCACCTTTTCAATTGGAACTTCTGTTTGACCTTCATTTCTGCAGTGATAAAGAAGTCAGGCCTTTTCATAGATTCTTGTCTCTCTCAGGAGGTATGCACAGGCCTCTTATTTGCCATACACCCTAGGCAAGTTATTGCTGCTGTTTCAGGAACAAGCTATTCATTTCTATAAGTATTGGTAAAAAACTATGTGAAAAAATGTTCAAAATCATCATTCTAAAGAACTGATAGTCTCCTGGGTTTGATCCCTAGCCTACCAAAGGTTCAGATTATTGAGTATCAAATTTTGACATCCTCATTGTTCTCATGAAGTATGCATACTTGTTCACTTAAGTTTTGTTCAAATGGGTTTCCCTGTTAAGGTTTTGTGGGAAAGATACTGGGATCTCCAAAATACAGTATGCATCTCTATTTTCTTACCTTCTAGTTATGAGACTCATCCTTCAGGTACTGTACAAACCCAGTTAAGTTGCTGGGTTTGTGAATGAAGAGGATAAGTTTTCTTTTCAATAGTTTGTAGCTATGCCCTTGGTGCTGCTGATGAGCGTGCTTGAGTGGGTTTGCTAGAAAAGATCATAGAACAGTTATCCAACTGCTCTGTGGGGGGTCAGAATTTAGAAGATAAGATAAAGTTTCCCCACACCCCACTAACTGCACTTGCAAATGTGGATAACAGTCTCTGTTGATAATTTCTAAACTTGATCTATTGATTGGCAGGGAGACCTATTTATAATTTAGCAGTCATTGTTTCTGTTGGCCATCTTATTTCCCTTTTCACAAGGGATATAGTTTGTCCCAGCAAAGTATTTATAGTTATGGTAGGCTAAAAGACAAAAATGGACTGCAAGACTCAAAAATCCATTAAGAGGTCCTTCAGTGCCAGAATGTACTGGTGATGGAGTAAATTCAGGGTATGTGTTTATGATGACTCTGAGAGTAGTCAGTAAACAACGAACATAGTTATCAAATGTCTGATTTAAGCACTCTTTTTTAATGTTGCAAGTATTTTAAGGACTTGAGTAATTAATATTGTTAACAAGTTTTGAAAAAAAAAAGAAAATAAAATCAACCCTTGGATTTGTGTTACTGATTACTTCCACATTCTGTCATTTCAGTCTACTCCTTTACATTTAGCAGCTGGGTATAACCGTGTGAAAATAGTACAGCTCTTACTGCAGCATGGGGCTGATGTACATGCTAAGGATAAAGGGTAGGTTCATTTTTCCTTCCCCCCCCACACCCCCAATAAACAGAATTTGTTAAAAATTGAGATTAAGTAAAGAATAGTAATACTGTCTTAACCATGAAGAATTTCTAACTTGAGACTGTTATGCCCTCTTTAACTTTTCTGTTATGACAAAAATACTGTGTACAGGCTTAAGACTTGGGAATCAGTAGAAACCAGATTGAGCTGACTGTGGAACATGCTGCCTTTTAAGTATCACTAGCCAAATTGTTATCTCTGGTTTAATAAAATATGTTCATACATCACTGTTAGGTCAGCAAATACTTAATCATTGAATCAATCTTAGTTTTCTTTCTACTTTTTAAGTTACAGCACTTCTTCTTGCAAAGAATGTGATAAAAAATAGAAGATATGTTTCCCAGATATTTTATTTGTATTAAATTTATGTCAGGAAATGTAGTAAAATATAGTCATGCTCTGGTTTTTTTAGTTACATACAATACAATGAAAAGCCTATTTTTAAAATATGTATTTATGTACATTAAAGATTATGGGAAGCAAGCTCTTTATTACTCCTTTTTCCTAGATTCACTTCACAGCTACATAAATAGCTGCCTCATCAGGCAGCTTTATTTATCCTCTGAGGGTTGGAATTCACTTTTATCGTTTCTACCTTACTAGCCCCCAGTGAAAAAATTCACTTTGGGCGATTTCTCACTTGCTCCTGAGACCACTGGGTTTGAGAGAGTATGAAGCTGGCTTTAAACCTTCTGTAGCTTTACTGCTACTGTAGAATATTGTACAGTTACTTAAACATTAGCTACTGAGACTTGTTTAGTTTCCAAGGGAGAAGATAATCTTACAGCAGTGTTCTTGTGAAAAAGGAAATAATTACTGTCACTCCTGAAAATCCCCTGCAGATAATTCTTCCTGCTTAGAGTCCCGAGTATGAGCAGAACCATTTCATTTGCAGTAAGACAGTGCAATTAATTTCTCATCTTCTGATTATTTTAAATATGTATTGTTCTGAAAACAGAATCCTGTTATGACAGGACTTTCCAAGTTCTTCTCCAGCTTCTTATTTAACCTCAATTTCATTTTAGCATCTCTGATACTATTTTTGTAAGATGTTCAAGGTGCAACACAGTACTATTTGCAATGTTATAGATGCATTTGGAATTGAAATACGCATACTAACATAATCATCCTCCCCCTTTCTCTCCTGTATAGAGATTTGGTGCCACTTCACAATGCCTGTTCCTATGGTCATTATGAAGTAACAGAGCTTCTAGTAAAGGTTAGTCTTTGAAGAGGTTGAATTGCATAATATTAGATAAGAACAGTTTATAATAGACTAATGCAAGTTGCTTTTTTTTTTTTTTAATTTTGTACTTAGATTTACAAAGCTTAAACAACGATAGATTGCTTTTGCTCTACATGTCAGTTAGTGATTATTAAGCTGGAGCTACAGAATCCTGTGCTCGCAAGGAAGCTTTTTCCTTATAAATGCGCTTTCTGTTTTTAACACTCTCTGCTCCAAAGTTGCATGTTTTTGTACCACCGAGTAAGTACTTCTTATCTCAGCCTTGCCACCCTCAGCCCAAAAAAACCACCAAAAAAACCCCCAAAATGGAGAAATATTGTGAGTTTGACAATAGAAAAATATTTTAGAAGACTAGAGTATTAAGAGGTTTTTAAAAAGGATACTGGTAAAGATTGTAAATATTTTGACATTAAAGAATAATCAGTCTCTTGAGGGAATATACTTTACAACATCAGTTCTAGACCTGAGTTGTAGCCTTTACTGCAAAGGAGGAAAAATGTGTCAGTTTTTCTAACGTAAGTGAACTCTCAGAATCGAAGTGGCTTGTCTGTATTATGTTAATCTTGAAGATGTTAATCTTCAAGTATGTTAAAGCATTGTTAATCTTGAAGTATGATGCACATTAAACCAGTGGCTCAGAGATGTGGCCTGTAAAAATCTGTGAATGTTGTCCACCGAGGGACTTCTGAACTGTGCCCGTTCTCAGCTGCACCGCAAATCATAATCATTATAACAGCTGGGGTGTTCTGTTAGGTGTTTGGATCCTCAGGGAATAGCTGTTCTATCCTGTATGTCTCAGTCTCCCCTAGTTCCATGTGTCTTTCCACTTGTTTAGCAAAAATTAAGTAAAAAATTATTTAAATAAGCATGTATTGTAATAAGTATAAGTAGTCAAGGTTTTATTTTTTAATTTAGAGGCCAATTGTAAAATGAATCTTTACAGTTGTGGTACTAAACAAAAAAAACCCATCTTGCCTAGACACTACTGTGAGTCTTAACTGTTAAGCTAGAGTTGTATTCCCTGTTGGATTTCTGCTGCAGTGAATCTTGAATCATTTTTGCAAAGCACTACAGCTTTCACAGGAGCAGTGGGAAAGAGCATGTCCTATGGGACTTGCTTACGGACAGAACTCAAGGTGCATACAGAATGTTGCTAGAGAAGAATTACACAGATATTATACATCCAAGAGTATTACTTGCAGAACCTTGTAGTTAAATGTTTTGAATTGTAGTCAGCTTTGAGTGCCTATCTCCTTCTAGATATATTGTCATTCATATTTTAAAGGGTACTCACAGAACGTGTATTTATCTTAGTTTAACTGTTCACTCTAGAATTTTTCTAGAGCAGCAAGAAACACGAGCTTGTTCAAATGTGGTTTGGAGTATATTAATTAGGTTCTTTCTCCCTTTTGACCTGGAGCAGAGCTTCTCTCCTTTTAGAGATGCTGGAGAAAGCCTGAGGAGACTAGCCTGCCTTTGGCTTCTTTGAATGCACCTATAAGACACTAAAGGATTTAAAACTGCGATGTGCTGAAATGTTGTCCTACACTGAATAAGAATGTCTGTAGAATGTCTTGGATACAGTGTGCATACAGGCATTGATTTTTATTTTAACAGTCTACTCCAGTGCAACTAATGACAGAAGTCTTTTTCTAATGATCTGGTTTTGATATTGTGTCTTTTTTTACCCCTTCCCCTTTCAAGCATGGAGCATGTGTGAATGCAATGGATCTGTGGCAATTCACCCCTCTGCATGAAGCAGCTTCTAAGAACAGGGTGGAAGTATGTTCTCTTTTGTTAAGTTATGGTGCTGACCCAACACTGTTGAACTGTCACAACAAAAGCACCATTGATTTGGCTCCGACACCACAATTAAAAGAACGATTAGCATGTGAGTATAAAGTGAGATCAGTTCTACAGTTATAGATTGTAATGTATGCTTAGGTTCCCTAGACATTGACCTGCCAGAAATCAGATTTGGAAAATGCTTACACTTTCCAAGCAATTGTGCAATGTTGGACAGGACTTTTCATTATTTATAATTTGAGATTGCTAGATTTTCTTAATGTAGGCATTTAAAATAATTTTATTGTCAGTTTATAGTCATGTGGTTGTGATGGGTTTTGTAGCTTTTTCTTCCCTGAATACACACTTTCCTTTGTGACCCTTGCCAGTACGCTTTCATTTTGCATACTTGCTCCTGTCATTGCATCAAAACTATTGAAATATTCATTTTTATTCTACTCTGTTTTGTTTGAAGAAAAGAAAAAACATAACTGTTTAGAATGCTGAATATGTTTTGAGTATACCACAGTTGCTGAAAGATTAAAAAAAAATTGATGAAAGGCATTGATTTTTGTCCAGTAAATGTAAGGAGTTGAAAAGAGCGCCCTCAGATTCTGTTCTTGAGTGGTCAAACAATAATGTTGCGGGATATGTACAAAATTTACCAGTAAATACGACATTAGACTTCATGTTAGCATCTGGAAGTGGTTTTTGAAAGACAGGTCAGAAGTAGAGATTTATATATGCTTGAATTGGTACATATACAGAGTGGAGCCTGGAACAGTGGTGAGTGAAATAGATCTTGTTCAGCCAGTTTGGATGTCTCTGGTTTTGGTTTAGAAACAAAGTGCATTCCTGTACTGTTTTGACTTAGCTAACAAGTTCTGTCAGGTGATGTAGAAGCTTAAGTCTGAGCTGGAAATCTCTGCACCATGGTCTGCTGAATAAAATGAATGTTTTTATCTAACGGAAAGGAACAACCCTCTCGATCCTTCTCCAGTTAAGGAGTATAACCTTATGGTCTGTTTTTATTTCTTTTTAAAGATGAGTTCAAGGGTCACTCGCTGCTACAGGCTGCAAGAGAATCAGATGTAGCTCGTATAAAGAAGCATCTTTCTTTGGAGACAGTGAACTTCAAGCATCCTCAGACACATGAGACAGCGCTGGTAATATCTCAGGATTTATTAATTATTTGGCATATATTGTGGCAGACCTAAATATGCTAGGTAATAGTTTAGAACTAAAAATTTCAGTGTCAAGCAGTGCAATTCAGACCAACCTGGAATATCCAATGTCTAGTTAAGCAAATAACATTGATTAATATTTTGTTCTTAAGGTTAATCTTAAGGCTAATCTAAGTTGCCTGTTTAATTTTGGTTGTCTAAATTACTGGTTTTCTGTAGAATAGTCTACTTTTAAGCAACTGCACGCTACTATGTTAGCTTTGTTTGTAAAGTTTGAGAGTTTGCAGCAATTATTGGAGAGGGAGCTCTGGAAAATACCAGAGTGGAATCTCCTGAATTAATAAACTTCTACATGTTTTTTTTTTTTTTTTCTGTTGACTTTGCACACAACCAGGTCTTAACTGCCAGCTGATCAGCAAGCAGTAAAACCTGTGTATTGCTAGCTAGCTGTTAATGCTACAATTTTTAATCTTCTCAGCACTGTGCTGCTGCATCTCCATACCCTAAGAGAAAACAAGTATGTGAATTGCTGCTGAGGAAAGGGGCCAACATCAATGAAAAGACAAAAGAGTGAGTGGTTACAAATAAATACTAAGTGTTTGTTTATAAGATTTTGCAAAATACATTTTGAATTACTATATTTTTTTTCTTTAAAGCTTCTTGACTCCTCTGCACGTTGCATCAGAAAAGGCTCATAATGATGTTGTTGAAGTAGTTGTGAAACATGAAGCTAAGGTATGTTCGTACTGTTTTTTTGTTGAAGTTTGCCTACTATATAGGTTTTCATAGCATGAGAATGGACATCTGAGGAGACAAGACTTTTCTGAAGTAATTCATTTTGAAAGGTTGTAGATTCATACACCTAAGACACAGGCCATCAGTACAGCCCTATGCCTTGAGACATCATAATTGTTTCAGTTCTATTTTATAAAAAGTGTGGATGTAGTTCTTCTCACCGTTAACTGGAAGCTCATGGAGTGTCTTATTCAGTACTTCGTTGTCCAGCAGTAGTAATGAAATGCTTAAGGAAAAAAAAAGGGATAGTAGTAATGAAATGCTTAAGGAAAAAAAAAGTAGGGGATATATATGAACAACAAGAAGCTAGACTGAACTGTAAAACAAAAAAACTTTGTGATGTTGTGTGCAGTAAAAGTTACACAACAAGAAGCTAGACTGAACTGTAAAACAAATATGTTGTGTGCAGTAAAAATTTCGGTGAAGGCAAAATGTTAAATCATAATACAGTGTTTAGTTCAAATTTACAAAAAAAAAAATAGGTAATACAGTGTTTAGTTCAAATTTACAAAAAAAGATGGGCTCTGTAATGCTTGAATTCTCCAAAACTAGGTGTTGAATCTCTCATAGAAATTTGATTACAGCTTGACTGCTGTGACGTTTCCAAAGCAATGATCAAAAACAGAGGAACAGGAGGGAATACAAGTAACCTTTGGGTGCAGAGTTTTAAATCGTTAAATGCAGCTCAGCTGAAACACACAGAAAGTCCTCAGTCTGAAAAACCACAATAAACTCATGCAGGTAAAAGGTGTTCTACATGTTGGCACTGAGGATTTGTGCTACCATGAGCAAAATAATATGTGGTAAAATTACTGTAACTGTGTTCACTGGATTATTCACATGCCTCTAAATGGGGGCTGTTCTTCCCCAGTAAATGTCATTATAACTTTATGAACTGCTTTTGTTTAAATTTAATCTTTTGAAATGTCATGACCTTTGGAAATATGCTGTATGTGTTCTTTGAATTAAAATAATAAGAATAACTTGTGAAACTTTCCCAGTCATCAAAGAAAACGGCTTTAATATTGAAGTTTTGATGGTGGTATTTCTGATCTGTGTTATTTTTAGGTTAATGCATTAGATAACCTTGGCCAAACCTCTCTTCATAGAGCAGCACATTGTGGTCATCTTCAGACATGCAGGTTGTTGTTGAGTTCTGGATGTGATCCTTCCATTGTGTCTCTTCAGGGCTTTACAGCCTTACAAATGGGAACTGAAAGTGTGCAACAGCTACTACAAGGTACAACTGATTTATTCAAGATCCACTTCTGAAGTGATGTGGTGCTTCATTTTACTTGCCTTTTCAAGTGCTGTCAAGAAGTAATAGTGAACACAAGCAGAAAAGAAAAAGAAAAAAAAGAAAAAAGTGCTTTCTACAAAAGACAGTACTGGGTTGTGCAGTTCTTATTCCATAACCTCGTGCACAGGGAGAGTGCCTGCTCTAGGTGTAGTTAACAGCATCATTTACTCTCTAGTATTCAGCTACACAGATTGTCAGAAATGCTCAGAAAGTTTCACGGTATGGCCACCTGAAATCATTTTGGAAAAATCCTGATGTGGGTGGGGGGAGGAATCTTGCAAGTAGAAAATTAGTTTCAAAAGCAAAAAATGGCTGCTTTGCACTTGTGAGCAGAGACAACAGGGTACATGGATTTTCAAGAGTAAGTTGAGACATTATGTACTAGTCCTGGTGGACAAGTTAAATATAAGCTGAAGTTAAATATGTGCTCTTGTGGCCAGGAAAGCTAATGGTATCTTGGGCTGTATGAGGAAGAGTGTTGCCAGCATATGGAGAGAGGTGATCCTCCTGCTGTACTCAGCCCTGGCGAGGAACCACCTGGAGTACTGTGTCCAGTTCTGGGCTCCCCAGTACAGGAAGGACAGGGAACTCCTGGAGCATGTCCAGCAAAGGGCAACTATGGTGATTAAAGGACTGGAGCATCTTTCATATGAGGAAAGGCTGAGGGAGCTGGGCCTGTTCAGCCTGGAGAAAACATGACTCAGAGGGGATCTAATAAATGTTTATAAATATCTAAAGGGAGGGCGTCTAGAGGACGGGGCCAGACTCTTTTGTTTGGCACCCAGCAATGGGATGAGAGGCAATGGGCATAAACTGCAGCATAGAAAGTTCCACCTGAACATAAGGAAGAACTTCTTCACTGTGAGGGTGACTGAGCACTGGAACAGGTTGCCCAAAGAGGTTGTGGAATCTCCCTCCCTTAAGATGTTAAAAAACGGTCTGGACAAAATCCTGGTTCATGTGCTCTAGGAGTCCCTGCTTGAGCAGGGTGGTTGGACTAGATGACCTTCAGAGGTCCCTTCCAACCTCAACTATTCTGTGATGCACAGGTAAAGTTCTTGATACAGTCTAATCTGAAACTGAATTAAGAATATTTAGCTGGTTCCACAGTACTTCAGAATGTATAGGAAGCACATTGTTAAAGGCAACTTTGCAAACACTGTTTCTGGATAGTAAGAAAAGACAAAACTTGTATATAATTGGTTAACTTTTTTTTAAGGGAAATCCTTGAAATACCGAAATGATTTCCTGTCTCAACAAATTCTTTCAACTACATACACTTACCTGTCATGCAACCTCATTTATTTTGCAGAAGGTATCCCATTAGGTAATTCTGATGCAGATCGACAGTTGCTGGAGGCTGCAAAGGCTGGAGATGTGGATACTGTGAAAGTAAGCTTAAACTTGTCTTAAAAATAAGAGGGAATTATATCCCAGACTCTTAATTCCTCAAAGCAAGCGATCAAGCAGCCCTTGACTGACTGCCTTAGAGTTGTGATCTCTGTCTTAAAACCTTTGTATTGCACAAGTACTACAGATGACAAAATGTAATGTTCACCACCTGCAGAAGTTTGTCTTCTGTAAAAAGCATAAATAAGAAGACACAGGTGTGGATTTGGGAGGAGGGAGTATTTAACTATTTTTTTTCTTGAGACAATCTGTGAAAAGTAAAGGTTTTGTATAAAAAAATAAATTAAGAAGTCAACTTTGTAATGAAAACAATTTTTTTCAATGTTAGATGTGTATGTATAACAACATTTTATGACTAAATTAGAAGTGTGACAACTAGATGTGTGTTTTGTTTTGGGGATTTCACAGAAACTATGTACAGTTCAAAGTGTGAACTGCAGAGACATTGAAGGACGTCAGTCTACACCACTTCATTTTGCAGCTGGATATAATAGGGTATCCGTTGTCGAATATCTTCTTCAGCATGGAGCTGATGTGCATGCAAAAGATAAGGGGTAAATACTCAAATATATATTTCCTTGGCAATTGTAATTGCTGGTGTCTGTCAGCTCTTGAATATTGCTAGCTGATAAGCATCCCATATTTCTTTAGATATTCAATTTTTAAATTTTCACTGAATGTTCTGTTAGAATTAAGATATTCAGAATATCTACAAAAGCATTTTGCAGTACTTGAGACTAGAGCGTCAAGAATTTCTCTGGCCTTGTGTTTTTACTTCTCGTTAGTGCCACTGCTGATTGCATTTTTACCACTTCAGCAGTAGATTTCTACTAGATTCCTACTACATTAGATTATTGTGGAAAATTTATGGGGCGGGGCGGGGGGGTGGGAGGGAAGGTTTTGTTACGGTTCGGTTGTTGAAGGTGCGTTATGTTTTAAGTTTATATCACTTTGTGAAAAAAAGACCCAGTATTTAAAGATAATTTTTCCTCTTTCTTTAATTGTTTCCAGAGGACTTGTCCCTTTACATAATGCTTGCTCATATGGTCACTATGAAGTTGCAGAACTGCTGGTTAAACATGGTGCAGTTGTCAATGTAGCTGACTTGTGGAAATTCACTCCCTTGCATGAAGCTGCAGCAAAAGGAAAATACGAGATCTGCAAACTCCTGTTACAGGTATTGCATATGCTGGAGGAAGGCTGCTTTCTTTTCTTTCTTCTTCAGTCTGAAATGTGATTGGACTTCTCTGAGAAATTAATTTGTGTGTTATGATTTCTAAGTGATTGTAGTTAACTGTGTGTTTTCAGTAAACAGGATACTATTAGCAACTGTGTGGTCCTTTCTTGCACAGTAAGTGGAAGGGTCTCTCTGAAGGATTCGAATATGTGTCAGAATATTTGCTCAGTAGGGCATAAGATGCCTAAGATGTAACATGTTTACTTACATACTTACCACCTGTTTTTGGTGTGCACAGCATGGAGCTGACCCTACAAAGAAAAACAGAGATGGAAATACTCCTCTAGACCTTGTTAAAGATGGTGATACTGATATTCAGGACTTACTTAGAGGTGATGCAGCTCTGCTAGATGCTGCCAAGAAAGGTTGTTTGGCCCGAGTAAAAAAGTTGTGTTCACCTGACAATGTCAACTGTCGGGACACGCAAGGACGGCATTCAACACCACTACATTTAGCAGGTTAGTGTTTTAATTAACTGGTTTGATCAGAGTTATTAGTTACTGTGGCTGAGCTTTCTGTGTCTAAGCAAGTTTAAAGTGAGCCTCAAGCTAGAGGATTCCGTATTTTCTCTTAAAAAAAAAATATATATTTTATGCATATTAATCTTATGCTTCTCTTCTAAACCATTTAACGACTTTAATTTCCTATTCTCTCTAGCCAAAGATAATCTTCTATTGTTTATTGACAGACATTTTAAAACCAAATATTCTTAAATAGGGTGAAGCTGTCTTCACTAATAGATAATACTCTGTCTTCATTGGGATTGACATCTTAACTTTCAAGTAATTTAAGTGAATTTTTACTTCTCTACAGCCTGTTGAGGATAGTTGTTTGGTTTTTTTTAATAAGTTCTATTTATTCTGTCCTTTTGCAACCTTACAGCTGGTTACAACAATTTGGAGGTTGCAGAGTACCTGTTACAGCATGGAGCAGATGTGAATGCACAGGATAAAGGAGGTTTGATTCCTCTGCATAATGCGGCATCTTATGGGGTAAATACCTCAAACTTTCTGAGGCTTTGTTTATTTAAAAAAAAAAAAAAAGATAAAAGTAATACATTTCATTGACAGCATTGTGAGCCAATACTTTCTAGAAGGCTTTTGAGTTGTAATGTAATCTTATTCATAAATGCAAAAAAAAAAATTCAGTCATAGTCAGTTCATTGTATAGATGAAGACTGGTTTAAATTTGTAAAATCATGGTTGGAGTTTAGAGAATTGAGTTTTCTGAACATGAACACTTAGAAAGCCAGCAGCCTGAAACATGTTCCATAAAATGCATTTCCTTGTGCCAGTTAAATTTTATCAGCAAGATCTCATTTTCACTTGTGTGGCTGGTGTTGAAACACTAATTGTTTTTGTGGACTTCTAGAGCTTTGTGCTTGGATTAAGTCTTTAATCAAAACAGTTGGATTACTTTCCAAACTAGAAGTTCAAATCCAGGCTTTTTTCCTTCAGTTTCCCCTGGATTTGGGATTCTTTTTACTGGTTTGTTATAGGTGAGGAAGAAAACACCTTGGTTTAATACTTTTTAATCATAATTAGAAAGTAAATATATTCTGAGAAAATTCAGAATGAGTGTTACAGAGAAGTATCAGTAGTAGTTCTGAGTTAGTTTAATACACTGTGGTACCTTGGAATTCAACAGGTGTTTTTATTTTCCAGCATGTTGATGTAGCAGCTTTACTTATAAAGTATAATGCCTGTGTGAATGCTACAGACAAGTGGGCTTTCACACCTCTGCATGAAGCAGCTCAGAAAGGAAGGACACAGCTTTGTGCCTTATTACTGGCACATGGAGCTGATCCTACTCTGAAAAACCAAGAAGGACAAACACCATTGGACCTGGTCACTGTAAGTGATGGGGCTCTTGGGAAATCTCTACTTACCTGCCATTTGTGGCAGCTCATCTAAAAACTATCCTTTAAAAAACACATAGTAATACAGCAACTTCTGCAAAATTTAAAATACT